CTGGGGATGTGGCTCAAGCGGTAGCGCGCTCGCCTGGCATGCGTGCGGCCTGGGTTCGATCCTCAGCACCACATACCAACAAAGATGTTGTGTCCGCCGAGAACTAAAAAATAAATATTAAAAATTCTCTCTCTCTATCTCTCTCTCTCCTCTCTCACTCTTTCTTTTAAAAAAATAATGTAATCATAGCATAGATATTCAATAACTATTACTTGAAATTTTTTTTAATTAAAAAAAGTTAATTTTCCTGATTCCATTGGTTGTATTGTAATTATTTTTTTGTTTTGTTTTGTTTTAAAGAGATAAATAAAGATAAATCAAAGCCTATAACCAAGATATCTTCTTTAAATTTTTCTAATAATTCACCTTTATTTTATAAAGTACTGATATAACAAGGATTGTTTTATTTTTTTTAAACTGATCTATTCTGTGGGGGGTGGGGTGCAGCTCAGTGGTAGAGCACTTGCCTCTGATGCACAAGGCCCTGGGTTTGATTTCCAGCCCTGCAAAAAAATATTAATATTAAAATTTTTTTAAAGTAATAAAAAACTGGTCCTTTATCACTTTTAAAGAAAGTGATAAGAATATCTATTTAAAATGACCACTATTTTCTTGCCTAGCATGCAAAAAACCCTGGATATAATCCTCAGCACTGCAAAACACAAATAAAAAACAACTATTATTGCAAATTTTATAGTTAATGGTTAGATGGCAAAATTTTCCCCTGAGGACAAAACTAGATATTATTATAACTTTTATTTAATAGTGAACTAGTCCTAGTTAGTGCAGAAAAGAAGAAAAAAAAAAAACAGAAGAATTAAGGGGGACTTTGTGTTTTTGTTTTTTTCTGATTGTATACACAGAAAATACAAAATCATTTTTTTCAGAGCCCCAACTACCTACCACCAACATGCCTGGCTTTATACCCTTCACTTTATATTAAAAGAAACATCAAAGCAAAAATATATTATTTTAGTCTCACTTAGCCATCATTTTAGATACTATACCCCACTAGCCTTTATATGACTTTGGACAGGGCCCAGTACATTTCAGATTTCAATTTTCTCTTTTATCTAATAATTTTTTTAAAGTTTTTCTTTTAATATTTGTAGTTGTAGATGGACACAATACCTTTATTTTTTATTTATTTATTTTTATGTGGTGCTAAGGATCGAGTCCAGTGTTTTATACATGCCAGGCGAGCACTCTACCACTGAGCCCCAGCCCTAGCCCCTAATAATTTTTTTTTTTTTTTAATTGAGACAGGTTCTTACTAAGTTGCCTAGGCTGGCCTTGAACTTGTGTGTGGGGGGGGCGGTGCTGGGGATTTAACCCAGGGCCTTGTGCATGAGAGACAAGCACTCTACCAACTGAGCTATATCCCCAGCCCTGGCCTTGTATTTTTGATCCTCCTTCCTTAGTCTCCTGGGTCTCTAAGATTGAAGGCATGCACCACTGCCCAGCCTAATAAGTTTTAATTAAAAAGTAACAGGCTACCCCTTTCCTTTTTTTGGATTTGGGCAACTATTAAGTTCCACCTTACAATTCTGTAGTGGAACAACAATTTAAAGACATTATATATTCTTACTTCCAATAGCACTCTGAATAACATAGGCATCCAGTAGGCACTCAGTGAATTCCTGAAGAAGTGGTTTCAAATCACCAATCACTTTTCTACTTTGGAGTCATATTCACAGAATGCTGAGTTTGAGAGATATATAATATTCTTTATTCATTAAAAAAAGAAGGCCTTTAAAGTTCATTGTGACTACTCATTTGGAAGCCCCAGCTTCCAAGGCTGGTTCTGTGTTATTTTTGAGCTCATGGATTCCTTCACTAAGTAGCAGAAATAGCCCGGCATGGTGGCACATGCCTGTTATCCCAGCAACTCAGGAGCCTGAGGCAGGAGGATCACAAGTTCAAGGATAGCCTCAGCAAATTCAGTGAGGTCCCAAGCAACTTTGTAAGATGCTTTCTCAAAATAAAAAATAAAAAGGGCTAAGGATGTAGTTCAATGGTAAAGTACCCTTGGGTTCAAATTCCAGGACCCTTCCCCCACCACCCCAAAAATAAGCAGAAATGTTCATCTATTTGTAATGGTTTGAGAAAGTCCTGATGACTTTAAGAGAACCTGTAACTTAAAAGACTTAAGATTCTTTGCTGCTGGAGAACTTAATTTCTACCCCAAATCCTTCCCTCCCCAAGGGTTCACTTCATGAAGTATTCTCAAAAGAGCCATGTGCTCTGCATCAGGAGCCCTGAGATTTTAGTCTAGATCCTGTCATTGACTTTGGATATATGACTCAAGCTCTATGACTTTATATGAGTTCATATGTTCTCTGTGTTGTAGGAACTATGCCAATCAAAGAATCTATGATCCTAGATCTCCTGCTAGGTTCTCAATATACAGTCCCATTCCTATATTCCAGTCCTAGACAAGGTTCCCAGTTCCAATCTTGCCCCAACTTGCAGTGTAACTTTAGGAATGTCTCTTAACTTTTTACATAGTTGTCTTTTGTACAAGGACATTTGTACTTTATCTGAGGTTTCCTCTGGTTCCTCCCTCCCACTAGAAAATAAAAGGATATTTTGAGATGAGACATTGTGACATTACTGTATCAGCTCATGATTTGCCTTGAAAAGTACTGCTTTACATAAAAACTTATGTAAAATTTTACACAGAAGTTTTTCACAGTGGAAACTAAAAGTGGCTCTTAGCAAAGTAAATGTTTTTGTTGTTTCCAGCTGCATTTATGATGGGACATTCAAGAAAAGATAGACACAGAATCAGTGACTGGCATGCCTACTTGGTCATCTATTGGCTATGCCTGATCAGAAGAGATGGCCATTGATCTTTCATGTTCCTTTCCTTATCAGGAAAATTAGCATACTATTATGAGAATAGAAACTTAACATTTATATGTTTATTCTTATACACATCCTAAAGGGTAACAATTTCCTCCACTAAAGAACCTAAATGTTCCTACTTATTAGGAGGACCTGGCCTAAGGAAATAAGACATATGGTACTAAACATCAGGGCTTGATAAGGAAGCACACCAGACCCTGATTCATGTCCAACATCTACCCATCTTTCCCATCCTCCCAAGAATCTTCACCAACGGAAGAGAAAGTACTCTGGAAAGGAGACTGGCTGGTCCAGGAACTAGTCAAGGCTCTATCAGATCTGGTACCTGTAGACCCAACCAGAGCCCTTTCTCCTCATTCACCATGCTTTAGCCACTCGGTCCTCCTTGAAAATATCAAGTGGCCTCATAGGACTGTAGGTCATAATGCTCTCCCTAACAGAAACACACCTCCCCTCATGACATGGTTCTTCATGGGGCTAGCTCCTATGTTCCCTTCAGGTCTCAGCTTCAGTGTTATCTCCTCAGAGAAGTTTTTACAGACCACTCATATAGGTGGGTCATCTATACCTCCCCAAGGTTTTTTTCATCACTACATCTTCTTATATTTTCTGACTCCCTTCTACTAAATTTTAAGCTTACCTGTGAGGGCAGAACCATGTCTCTTCTTTTTTCGACATTTTATTGTATAATTTTTTTTTTTGCTCCCTCCATCTGCTACAGTTAGGACCATGTCGTTTCTATTTATCATTATATATCCAGTGTCTAGTACAGCAACTAGCATGAAGTAAATTTTTTAAATATTTTTTTAGTTGTTGATAGATCTTTATTTTATTTATTTTTTATTTGTATGTGGTGCTGAGAATCTAATTCAGTGCCTCACACATGTCAGGCAAGTGCTCTACCACTAAGCCACAATCCCAGCCCCAAGTAAATGTTTTTAATATGTATTTTTTTAGTTGTAGGTGGACACAATACCTTTATTTTACTTTTATGTGGTGCTGAGGATTGAGCCCAGTGCTTCATGTGTGCCAGGCAAGCATTCTACCACTGAGCCACAGCCCCAGCCCCTAAAGTAAATTTTTATTATACATATATTGAATGAATTAGTGAACACTTGAACAGCCTCCTAAGACTTCAGTTTGATCTCAGATTTCCGGGACCACAAAAGCTTACCTTCCACATAGGGGCCCATCTCTGGATGCTCCCTGACCCGCAGGGTATAGGACTTCTTTTGATTAGATTGCTTCAATAGATCCCGTACCCGTTCATTATAGATTTCCAGGAAACTAAAGGACAGAAAGGCAACACAATTAGACTTTGAAAAAAAAGAAGGAAAAATACTAATCCAAGAATCTGAAGGTTCCAGGTTCCTTTTCCAGCTTCTATCTCTGACAATCTAAGTCTTTGACCAAGCCAGGACTCCCCTTATGTGTCTTTCTACTTGTTTACAAAAGAATTGTAAGCAATGGCTTTTATCACTTCATGGTTTCAGGTTTATAATACAGTGCTTATTTGAGATTAGCCCTTGAGGGACTATTTCAACATGATTTTTGGCCATAGTATGTGGCCACCAGCTGTGCCCTGATCAGGCCTCCATGGCACATAGTCTATAGATTATGTTTCTTGAGTGATTTTCAAACAGGACCCTCTATTGTTCTGTGAAGGCATCTCAGGGGCCATTGCTGAGCAGTGAGGGAAACTAATTAATAAGGGTTCCAGTCTCTATCCCTGCTTTAAATAGGGCATTTCTCATCTGTTTTATACACTGGAATTGTATGTAAGTTATGCTCTATCTTATCCACTGACATTTTATTCCTTCTTTAAAAAAGCAGTTATAATTCTTAATTAAAATCAGTGGGGGCTGGAGATGTGGCTCAGCGGTAGCGCGCTCGCCTGGCATGCGTGCGGCCCGGGTTCGATCCTCAGCACCACATACCAACAAAGATGTTGTGTCCGCCGAGAACTAAAAAATAAATATTAAAA